GGGCAAGTACAATATAAAAATAAATAAATATATATATATAAGTTATTTAAAAAATTAAGCAAGAAAAATAAAGAAAAATGTGTAGTTAAATTGTCATGAAAAACACGAAAGAAAATATTAGAACTAAATTTGAAAAAATATATAGACATTTTAGGACAAGTTAAGACAAAAGAGTTTTTTAGGGTGGGAAAAAGTAATTTTTTAGGATGGGCAAAAAAAAACTTTTATCTATAAAAAAATTTGTTTCTCTCCTATAAAAAACAAAAAAAAAATTTTTTGAGGGGGGCAATTGCCCCCCCTACTCTTAACGTTGTTTCGCCACTGTATTTGGATGATTGTAAAAATAATGCATGAGATTAATTTTTTTTTGTTTGATTTAACGTAAAATGAATGTAATGTAAAGTGTAAAAAAGTAACCGTCATTATCCAACACTAGCAACAAATGTGGTTGGTGGGTGGTGAATGTGATGGATGGCGGTGGCGGTGAACAACGGCAATTGCAATGAATTTATGGTGTATTTGGAACTCTATCAAATCGGAAGAATTTCAAATACACCAAAAATGATCTATATGATGTATCCCAAATAAATCAAAATTTTATATTAATTACATTTATTCTATTTTAAATCAAACCTTAATATTTTCAAAACACTAACATTTGAAATAATTTATTCTCCATTTGCAAACAGCTCCTAAATAAAAATGGACAGTATTTACTAATTCCTAATTTTAATTCATCAAAATTCCATCTTATGATTACCAAAACTACCAAACTCTTTCAAACTACTGAACTTTTCAGCATCTCACAGCTTCAAATACGAAGGGAATCCCAACGCCTTTTAATAGCGGCTTAGTATTCTTCAGCTAGCCGGAAAACATGTTTTCGTACGACGTTATAACTCCTTCCCCATCGCCGGCGATGGACGGCGAGAGCCCCGCCGGAGAACAAGGCCCGCCCAATGCCGCTGGCGGGCTCGCCGTTTTTCTTACCTGGGAGGATCTGTGTGTTCGGCCTTTAGACGGAAAGGGAAGTGAGAGCGTTCCCATACTTTCGAAGGTCACTGGAATGGCCCGCCCCGGCGAAGTTCTGGCCATAATGGGCCCGTCGGGCTGCGGCAAATCAACCCTGCTGGACGCCCTCGCAGGTGCTTGCGTTAATGAATTATTAATAGATAATTATCTCATCGTATTTGCAAATATTTTAGCTTAAAAAACAATTAAATATGGATTTAATTACTTCATTAGGAAGGTTGGCTTCGAACCTTAGATGCAGTGGAGAACTTTTGGTTAATGGCCGCACGCAGATTTTGGCATTTGGTGTTGCAGTGAGTTTAATGCTCTATTTTATATTTATTTTTGCTTAAGTAACTTTTTTTATTATTTTCTAAAGTAGATTTTTTTATTAAAATTTATATACTAAAAATTTTTTTTTTTTAGAAAACAGTTAAAAAGCTGCCACAAATAAAATTTAAAATTGGCACATCACTAAAAATCGGCTTAATTGGACATGAATTTTGAGTTATTTTTGAATAAAAATTTTCTGAAATTAAATTTGGGATCGTCCAAATCTTTGTCAATTATGAGGAAGACAGAATTCTTACATCACCTACTATATAAAAGATTTTTCAATGTCGAGATTTTTTTTTTTTCACTTTTTAGATTCTTTACATAAAAATTTTCAGGTCTTATAATATTTATCTATACGTGTTGAATTTTGCACAACACTACGATATAAAACATATAATAATTATAATCTTAATTTATCAAGTAAATTAAGAGGGGTAAGGAAGCAAGCCGAGTCTCTCTAATCAAGGAACTCGGGTTTCTTTTGGGACAGTTTTTTTACTGTTTTTTAAAGCAGTTTTTTTAATAAAAAGTTATAGTTTAAATTTTTTTTATTAAAAAATTAATTTAAGAAATAGTAAAAAAATCATCCCAACAAAATCTCAGTCGAACACCTAAGTGAGAGATAGAACTAGGACAAGAGTAGAACAAAAGTTACCTACATAGCTCATATAATTTACACAATTCTCATTATAATAAAGGCTTAGTTTTGAGATTGCTTTCTTACTGCTTTCTGAAGCAGCTTTTGAGTAAAAAAATTTTGTACGAAAACCTATTTGAGAAATTAGTAAAAAAACCCAATGCAAATGAAGTCTAAATAGAAAATAAAAAATAATTAGGATAAAATGACAGTTACTGGCTTACTGCATGGTAGGGCTGTCAAAACCGGGTCACGGGTCGGGTTCGAGTCCAACCCGAAGTTGACCCGACACTATTCAACCCGACCCGAACCCGACCCGAACCAGACCAGTTTATGCAAACGGGTCGATTTTTCGAACCCGAATCCGACCCGGTCCGGGTCAACCCGAACTCGACCCGATTCAGATATATTTTATTAAAAAAATTTTATATTTAATTCAATGTATTTAAATCTAAATCAAATTAAGGTAAGATTTACTTCAATTAATTTAAAATAAATCAAGATTAATTTAATTTAAGCAATAATGTTTATAATTTTTTGAAATATCATTTACTTATTTCATAAAAATCCATTAAAATCCTCCTAAATTAATAAAAAACGGCTCAAATCGGGTTGATTTCGGGTTTCCAGGTCAATCCGAACCCGACCCGGTTTTATAAACGGGTTGAAATCCCTAACCAGAACCTGACCCGGTTTGGGTTCGGGTTGACCCGAACCCAAAATCTTCGGGTCGGGTCAAATATTGACACCCCACCGCATGGTCACAATAATGATAAATATAAAGTTGTCCAATTAATTACGAATATTATTTGTCTCATTTTTTATTTAATTATTCTTGGATTATATTTAAAATTCTGTAAATTCAAAATTAATTTTTTTTTTAATTTCTTTCAGTCCTATGTAATGCAAGAAGATATATTAATGGCAACATTAACAGTGAGAGAGGCGGTACACTATGCCGCGGAGCTACAACTCAGCGAAACAATGGGGAGAGAGGACAGAATTAAGAGGGCGGAGGAAACGCTACAGGAAATGGGGCTTAGCCGAATCGCCGGTAGGAGGATTGGTGGCCGTTCATCGAAGGGGATAAGCGGCGGGCAAAGGAGAAGGCTGAGTATTTGCCTTGAGATTTTAGCTAGGCCGAAGGTTCTGTTTCTGGATGAGCCGAGTAGCGGGCTAGATAGCGCGGCTGCTTTCCACGTGATGGATCGAATCGGACGGATGGCAGCGAGGGAACAGATAACAGTTTTGGCCGCGGTGCACCAGCCAAGCGCGGAGGTTTTCGGTCTTTTTCGTTCGGTTTGCCTCTTGGCGTATGGGAGAACCGTTTTCTTTGGTTCGCCTGGCTTAGCCAAGCAGGTTGGTGCTTTTTTTTTTCTTTTAATTATAATTGAGAATATTCTCATATAAATTATTTAGGGGTGTCAAAAAATAACTCGATCCGCCAACCTAATCGAAATCGAACCTGAAAATCCAGATTTAAGTTAACCTATTTATTAAATGGGTAGGTTCAGATTGACATGTTAACTCAATTTCGACTTGAAAATGACCCATTTCATAAGTTTTGTCTTATTTTTTTTATTTATATAATATTCTTACTTTTAATCAATCAATCTAAAATCTATGAGTAATTTAGGTTGCTAGTGTGTCGAGTTCGGGTTCAATTTTTGATCAGTTTTTTAAATATGTTCAAATTGGGTTGACCAAATTAGGCCAAATCAATTTAGAGTCGAACCCAAACCTGACTTGTTGATCTATTTTGACACCCTTATAAATTATATCAAATTGATTTTAAATTATTTAATTTATTTTAAGGTTAATGTTATATATATTGCATTAATCTTCAAATAAATTCAGTAAATTTCAAAATTATCCTAATATAATTTATAGGAAGATATTCTCATAAAAATATAAAATTTATTTTTTTTAATTAATTTTTGCATATACATCAACAACAACGCTATCGTTATCATTAGGGTGTCAATATTTGACACGACCTGAAAACTCGACTCAAATTCTACCAGGAAATTTCGGGTTAGGTCAACTCGAACTCGAAAAGGGTCAGATTCGGGTTCAACAATTCGATCCGTTACAAAAATCGGGTCAGGTTTGGGTTGACCCATTTGATTCAAAATTGACCTGAAAATGACCCGGTTTTGAACCAAAAAATTATTTTTGACCCGACAACCCGAGATTGACCTGTTTTGACCTAAAAAGCGAAGATTGACCCGTTTTTGGATTAAAAAATAGCATTTTTTGTTGGCATCGGGTCATTCGGGTCGTGTCGGTTTGACCCGAACCCGAAGCGGGTTGGGTTCGGATCCGAAAACCGACTTGTTTTCAAAAACGGTTTAGGTTTGGGTTGACCCGAATAGTGCCGGGTCAATTTCGGATTCGACCCGAACCTGACCTGTGACCCAAAATTGACACCCCTAATTATCGTGTTTCAAGCCTTATATGAGAAAAATAAAGGGTTGCATCATATTATTGAAAGCCAGCTTAAAATTTGTCGGATAATCATGACATAAATCCCATAATTTTTTTTTACATAACAAAATTATAGTCTTTTTTTATTATATTATTATTTTATTTTTTGAACAAAATTACATATTTGATTCCTCTTCTTCAATACAGTTCTTTGCTACCAATGGATTCCCTTGTCCATCACTGCAAAATCCTTCTGATCACTTCCTAAGAACCATCAACAAAGACTTTGAAAATGTGAGTGCAAATATTTTTTTTAATATATTTTTTCTATATTTCTAGCTCTTATTTAATTCAATTAATTATTGTAATTAATCAAGCTTACAAAATATTTTGCAATAAATCACATGAGCAGGACAATGAAGAAGACATAGAAGGTGGGCAAAGCACCACATCCAAAGCCATTGAGATCCTTGTGGATTCTTATTCTTCATCAATTTGCATGCTACAATTGCTTTCAAACATTGCTATCATACATAAAATGGTATTTAATATCTCATTTCTACGAAAAATTATTGCGTCCTCCCACCTGACGTAGAGATGCGTCCTTCCACCTGACGTAGAGTTATACCGAGCTATACCGAGCAATACCGAGCATATACCGAGTTTTCTCTAGGAAAAACTATGTATTTTTTTGTATTGCTCGGTATTGCTCGGAATAGCTCGATATAACTTGGTATTGGTCTTCACATGATGATATTCGTCGTTATTACCAAATAATACCTAGCAATACCGAGTAAAAACCGAGTTTTTTAGCTCTGAGAGGACGCATCTCTACGTCAAGTGGGAGGACGCACTAATTTTTCCATTTCTACATATTTTTTTTATTTATGTTGTCGAGTCCTAAGTCCTGGATAAGAAAGATTGAATGTTGTATTAGGTAGTTGACAACCAACATGAAACTTATTGAATAATCATGATATGAATCATTTAATACGTGATTGTTTGTGATTGATTATTAATTAAAAAAATAATTTCAAGGTATTTTAATGCAAAATGCATTAGGATTAGCTTTAAAATCTTTTGATTTGCACTGAGATTAGTGTAATGAAGTGTATCATATAACATAGTAATGCAAAATGCATCAGTATGTTATATAACAAAGCTTTAAAATCATACTATTTGCATTGATATTAGTGCAATTCAATATACAAGAGCAGAATTAGGTTTTTTCTTATGTGCAAATTCATTACATAAATAACTAACCATAAAAAAAGAAAAATGTATAAGATGAAATTCAGTCTTTGTGCATGAAAAGGAATGAAAAAAGAGAGATTATTACGTAGGGGCACTGGATCATTTGGAGACGAATCAGGATGCGCCATGTCACCCGATACACAGCGGTACATAGCACTGGTACACAATAAAATGATAACATGACGCGTCCTGATTTGTCTCTGGATGACATCCGGTGACCGCACGTATTAATTCTATGAAAAGAGAGGTAGAAATATTCTCTGACTTCGTGAGAACGAGAATAACGGTGAACAACAGACCGTTTCTTAGGATACTTTTTTTTTTCTTTTTAAGGGGAGATTCCCAAAATTATCCCCCTTCCCTTCTAAGTAAAATTTGATTTTGTGGGCAATTGCCCACCCTTAGTATAATGGGCGAATTATTGCGTCCGGTCACCTGACCTCCGGACAATCAATCCAGATGCGTCAAGTCACTCAAATACAATGGGTCCCGATGTATTTTGCTGATGTGACACATCTGGATTGGAATCCGGATGAATCCGAACACCGGACGCAATAATTTGCCTATTATAATGAGGTTTTGCCTAATTAGTATAGCATATACAACATTAATTTTAATGTAAATCAAAGATAAATATTACATTAGAACCTTTTGTTATAAATCTTTTTATTAATTTGTCTGATTAATTTATTAATTAACAGAGGTTAATTTGTTCTCATTTCCTTAATTTTAGCTTTTTAGTAATTTTCATAAAATAATAATAATAATTTTTATTTTTTTTGGCTTTATGAATGAATAAAGAGATGCGGTCTGGTGAAACGCGGGAGCAAAGCGGGCTTCTTTACACAAATCTTATAGTTTAAAATTTTCTATGTTATATAAAATTATAAATAAATATCAAAATTTATATGTTATACACATAAATACATAAAAATTATAGATCAAATAATATTTTCCTTAAACATATATCACAAAAAATTTTCGTATTTATATGTTTAATATTTCAATATTAATATTTATTCATATGGCATTATAATCTTCAAATCCTATAAAAAATTATTATAAATGTCATTGATATTTATTTGACTCATTGGAGTAATGAGTTAACTCATTTATAATACTCTTAGGTTTCGTTTGTGACGAATTTTTTATTGCTTTTTAAAATAGAGTTTTTGTACAAAAATTAAAATGTTTTCTCTGAAAGTATGTTTTAAGAAGCAATAAAAAAGTCATCCCAAAAGAAGCCTTACTTAGATGTTAACATCAGAAATCTAAAGACAACTTTATTTATTAATCTCAGGCAAAGAGTTCAATGCTTGGCTTCATTACTTCGTTTCTCACGTTTATGGCGATTGGCGGCTTCCCTTCCTTTGCAGAAGACATGAAGGTAAGCATGGTGAATTCAATGATGTGACAACAACAACATTAAACATTTATCTCACTATGTGGGTCAACTATATGAATAATTTTTCTTCATTATGTTATATTAATAAAATTTCAACATGTACGTAATAAGTATATATGTGAAATGGTTGGAGTAGTTCTAGTGACAGATAAGATTAGAGAGAGTCGTCTTAGATGATTTGGTCACATAAAATGTTGGCCTTCTGATGACTCGGTTATGAGACTAGATGTATTAGATTTGGCCTATATGTTAAGAAAAGAGAGGTAAACCTAAAAAGACTTGATTAGAAAGTATTAGAATGACATTTTTTAATTATATTTAATTGAAATTTGACTCTTAACATGACATAATGAAGAAAAATGATTCATGTAGCTCACCCCACATAGTGGGACAAAGACTTGTCATTTTTGGTAAAATTATAAAATTTTAACTATTTATAATATGAAAAATCTACAAGTGGCTATTTGCTTTAGACACGTGGAATTACGTACGACGCTTCTTTATTTCATCAAAATCATTACCTATTGATTATAGCTTAAGGATTTTTTGTAATGTCATTCTCAATATATATGATCAATGAACATGCAAGAAAATTATCCTTCATATAATTTCGTAGCATTATCTTGACAATCTTCATTATTGAAAATGTATGTTCAGTTGTTGTCGTCGAATCGACAAAGTTAAGATCAATCTAACATCAATAAGAGGACATATTATTGAACTTTTTGTTGTTGGCAAATGGAAAAAGATGACCAATGTGCTTCAATTTCAACAATTCCTTTGAGTTTACAAATGGATGAAAGATTTAAAATCCAGTTTAAATAGAATATATTAAAATCCTACCATAAAATAAATTGGACTTTGTTCTAATAAATTTTGAGTTTGATATATGAACTCTTTCTTTATCAATTTCTATTGAAGATTAGTCATTTGTAGAAGAAAAGTTTATTTATATCTAATGATAATTTTCTCTGCAGATCTTCAGAAGGGAGAGACTCAATGGGCATTATGGTGTCACTACATTTGTTATTGCCAATACGATCTCCTCCATACCATACTTAGCCTTCATCTCCATAGTCCCAGGAGCCATCGCCTATTACTTAGCAGGACTTCGAGGCAACATTAGTCATTTTGCTTATTTTTCACTTATACTTTTAACATGCATGATGCTTGTCGAGGGTCTTATGATGATAGTTGCCGCCACAGTCCCTAATTTTCTAATGGGCATTATCATAGGAGCTGGAATCCAAGGCGTGATGATGCTCAATGGAGGTTTTTTTCGGCTTCCCAGTGAACTCCCAATGGTGTTATGGAGATACCCACTATATTACATCTCTTTTCACAAGTATGCAGTTCAAGGATTTTATAAGAATGAATTCATGGGGCAAAGTTTTATTGAGAGTCAAACAATAGAAAAATTGCCAACCCTTATCAATGGAAATGACATCTTAAATAAAATGTTTCAAGTGGAGATGGGATATTCAAAGTGGGTCGATTTAGTTATACTGCTTGGGATGCTCGTATTATATAGGGTATCACTCATAGTGATTTTGAAGGCTTCTGAGAAAGTTAGGGTGGTAACGTGTAGAGAAATGATGGCTGGTGATTTCAAACATGTCTGCTAAGTTTTCTAGATGATTTATTATCACCCCTAACTTCTACACAAATTACTCTCTTAAGCTTATTCAGTAATATTTTTATAGCCTTACATTATGTTGTATAATTCAAATTGATATTATTCATATAGAGATGAAGAAGAAAACTAAGCATGGTTCCAAATATCATGAAGCCATGCTCAAGTTTGAATAAAGTTTTCTTTAATTTATATATTCTTTGTACTTAGCAAATTGTGATAGCCCATGCTTTTAAAAAGAAATTATGAAAAAAAAAAAGTATTTCAAAAGGGAGTCCAATGTGTTCTACTGTTCTAGTTTGGTAGTGCCACTAGTAGGAACTTTTATTTGGTCCGGTCATCTGACGTAGCTCTACATTCGGACGCCAGTAAAATAGTGCCACGTGTTCTCACTATTTATCGTGCGGCCCGACAACCCCGACCTGGAACAGAGACGGGATAGCTATGTTCGCGTGTTGCTCGGTATTGATCGATTTTGCTAGGCAATAACGAGAAATATCATTCTGTGAAGATCAATACCGAGCAATACCGAATTTTTCTCGGTATTGCTCTGTATTGGTCTTCACAGAGCAATATTTTTCATTATTGCTAAGCAATACCTAGCAATACCGAGCAACACCTAGAGAAACTCGGTATTGCTCGGTATTTCTCGGTATTGCTCGGTATTGGTCTTCACAGAGCAATATTTTTCATTATTGCCAAGCAATACCTAGCAATGCCGAGCAACACCTAAAGCAATACCGAGTAATACGCGAACATAGCAATCCCGGATCAAGTCGTCGGGCCGCACGATATTGAGTAAGACCATGTGACGACATGTTATTGACGTTCGAACGTAAAGCTACATTAGTTCACCTGACCTAATAATTGTTCCACGAGTAGGAGATGGAAATTAGAGCATTTTTTCCAATGCTACATTTTAGAATTACAATGAAAGAAATTATGCTTGTAATACTTTTTTTCCAACTTCTTAGGTTGTTTAATATATATTTAAGTGGGATTTAATTAAAGAATTAAAGAAAATCCTTTTAAAGGATTTTAAATATATTTGTGTAATTTTAAAAAATTAGCATTATTTGTTAAATTTGGAGATGAGCAGAAATTAACATGTTAAAAAAAATTATAGTTTTTTTTACTTTCAATATCTTACCTATAATAATTATTTAAATTATAAATCATGATAAAAAATGTTAAGTGGTTTATTAGAATTAACGAGATTTAAAGATTATCAAGAAAATTTAATTTTAAGATTTAACATTCAATATATTCTAAACTCGCATATATATACAATTTTAAAACACGAAGAAGTATAATCCATAATTCCAAGTTAATTTTCCATAAATATAAGCCCTTATGTTGTTCTTAGTGCCTCCTCAAGAAGAAAGTCTTAGGATTAACTGAAGAACCTAGGGAGATAAAGAACCAGTGATAAGAGGACCAAACGATTGGGGCACTACATAGCATACTACACTTGAGCATCTTTTACCATCCTTTATAATATAACGGCAAGCCTGTAGCCTCGACATATTTTTCCTTAACTTTAGGGTTGTCTTGGTGGCTCTAGCTGATGATTAACTTTTATTCAGGCCTATGTCTCCACTTTCCTTTCTATAATTTTCCCAATCTCAATAAAAGGGTATGTCTAATCGTTCTTTTCTTAGCGGGTCTTCCTTGGTCCCTTCCTCCGTACTTTATATAGTAAAGTGAGCACTATCTCGCCTTCTTATATAAGTAGCAACCATCATGATGGCTAAAGCTTCCTTGATGCACTCTATGTTTGAATCCTCCAAAATAATACTCTCTATCGCCTTTTTTTAGTCTTATAGTTTATTAACACATTCTTTCCATAATGCAATAATAATACTAATAATGCATTTTCTAGCCACCCATGTTCGAGATTCGAGATCCTACTCTACTTCTTTATCTCGACCATTTTCAATGGAATCAAATGAGATTCTCTCATTAAATTTATTAGCAATAACATAAGTGAGTTGGTGAATAGTTTCTCTTTATTTCTCTTATAACTATTTTGTGGGGAGCTTCATCATAAAGTAGGGGATAAAATAATTTCCATCAAGTTGGATAAGAGGAGTTGATCAAATATAAAATTGCAGCTCAAGCTGATATCTACCATGATGAATCCGACTAATGAATTGACTACAAAGGTGGTTCACCTAAGATGACTTGAAGAGTGATGTTTCTGATATTCATAGAATTTATGACCCGAATCATTGAGTGTTATGAGGATGGGTTGGAGCTAAACTTAAGTTAATAAAAAATTCATTAAGACATCGAGAGATAAAATATCCATTGAATTACCGATATCATCCATGATTTTATAACGTTGGTGCAAGGAGTCTTCATATTAGCTATGATTATTAAAAAGCCTTAATATTATTAGTATGGCCTATAAAGTTGAAGAGATAAAAAATAATTTAGTTATTCTTTAGTGGATCTTCTCAAGTATGAGGATATATAGATTGGTTATAGTGGAACTTTTTTTTAAAGTAACAATAATCATGATAATTTATTTGTTATGGGTCTCATGATATCCTTTGTTCTATAGATTAGTCTTACAAATAGTAACATAGGTTTTCCAAATACTCAATATCTTCCTTAAAGGCTTAAAGGCTTTGTTTGGGACAGCTTTTTTATTACTTCTTAAGACAGAATTTTAATACAAAAATTAAAATTTTTTTTATTAAAATATTATTTTAAGAAGCAACAAAGCCTAAATAAAATCATTTTTCCATTGATTGTCCTTTTGAATGATAAAGATGACAATATATGGATTGATTTTTATTACTCTTAAAAAAAAAATCTTTATTACTCTAATTTTTTGGTAGGCTCATCCATTTAAGGTATTCATCATTCTTGATCTCCATGAGAACATTACCTCCAAACATATTTAGTAGGGTATTCTCTACAAAGAATCTTTGAAAAATCTTATTGGGAGAGAACCCTTTATTTCGATGGAACTCAAAGAGGTTGAAGCAATCTTTAATTATTCTTCAATTTGCAATAATTTGTTTAGCAAAAAAGCTAATAAGTAATTGTCCCTTGAGGGAGAGAGAAGAAGTAGGTGTGATTTCTTCATTTGCAATAATTTTTTTGGGACAACTTTTATACCATTTTCTAAGGCAGTTTTTTAGTTAAAAAGTTCTTAAACTTAAAATTTTTGTACTAGAAAGTTGCTTTTAGAAAATAGTAAAAAAGTTGTCCCAAATGAGATCATAATGCTTCGTTTGGGACGGCTTTCTTCATGCTTCTTAAAACAGCTTTTTAGTTAAAATTTTAAAAATTTATACTAGAAAGCTGCTTTAAGAAGCAGTAAAAAAGCCGTTCCAAACAAAGCCTAAAAATACCAAAAAAGCACTTTTTCAACAAGAGGCGATGTTATAAACTTATAATAGCATAAGAAAATTCTCATACACTATAAAGTTGATCAACAGCAGCCACAACAAAGCCCCAGCCATCTTCTAAATCAGGGCTCATCCAATAACCATATATTACTCTATCATCCATTTCAGAGATTAGACTTAACCAAATATGAAATGGTGTGTTACACTTACCTACATGCTTCAAGAACAAGGCATTAATGGTGCAGAGCAATTTCATAGGATCACCTGCTCTTGTTGCTGCCAACATGAACAACTTGTCAGTTTAATACAGATATTTGAACACTGTAAAATAAGATGGAGGAGGAATAATGAAGTAAACACCTGTTATGGAGTTTGTTTGACTGGTATTTCTGTGCAATGGAAGACAGGGAGCCTGGATATTCCACAAAAAAGAAGAGAAAAATCTTGAGAAAAGTATAGATATATCAGTTCTCTTTATGAAGTATGAAGAGAAATGAGCAGGCATTGATATATAAATGCTACACTCCACTGTCCAAATCAAATTTAAGCTATTATGAAGGAGAAAAAGGTCTTTAGCAGACAAAGGAGATGGGAAAAACTTGAGTTCGCAAGTAATTCAAGAGGAAATATTTGAGTTTGTAAGCAACCATAGCAATAATTAGTCAAAACAGCGAAAATAACGCAAAATCTGGGTGAAAACAACCTAAAAAAGATAGATTGTAGTAGTGTAATCAAAACAAAACAAACACCAAAGCAAGATACAATGGATCCTCAATTCGACAGGAGGATCGTTCTCTCCCAATCTCTAGACGATGAGTTTAGAGCCCAAGAAGCCAAGGAATTCCAAGAGAATAACTCAAAACATGCATGCCCTAACCCTAGCCTCCTCCCTTCTTTTAATACATATCTTCTTAATAAAAAATAATAATAGATTTCCTAAAATAAACATTAATTTAAATAGTTTCCCTAAGCCCTTCCCTCTCTCTCCTTGCCGCCCTTGGGGGCCCCACAAGCTTGGGCGGCAAATAAATGAGGCGGCATAGCCCGCATCCTATAGGTCTGAACCGGCCCCTCTTGGGCCGGTTTGGGCGGTTCTGGCCAAACCGTAACACAAAACTATTTACATCATTACAGGAGTTACTTATAGGGTTGCATGGACATGTGAGAGATGAGGAGCTTGCTTGGTCAGTATGGCTTGAGTACTTCCCACATCCGCTCCAGTTGCTCCACCGCCATGCAATTACCAATTTTTTATCAGTAGGCGGAGTTGAATTGGTTGTCATCCATGTTTAATTTCTCATAAATGACTGAGTTATTTGAGATGCAACTGGTAGGACTCATTAAGGAAGTGTTTACTAAATTTACCAACACTACTAGTAGGTTAAACTCCATTGGTAAAGTGTTTATGAATGAAAACCTTGTGAGAATGGCATTTAGGTGATTTCCAGAACAGTATGATCTCTAATCTACCACAAATATGGACGCCAAGAGATTTGCATCTCTTTCTTTAAATGATTTGTAGGTTTGCATACTATCAACAAGATGGAAATGAAATGGTAGGAAGAAGGTGAAGAAGAAAACTCAAAAGAAGAAGAAGGCTCCTACCAAAGAAAATAAAGGCTCTTGCCCTAAGAACTAGCCCTCCACCATCTAATTAAGAAATCATCATGGCATCTTGGCAACCTTCTTGAAGTATCCTTCAAGAAGATTCTCAAAAGACAAAGAGGCCACTCAGAAGAAGAAACAATATGATTTCCAGAAGACTGTATCTAGGTACTAGCCTGAATAAACAATATGATCCTGAGGCCTCTTACATGCATATTCAAGAACAATGGACGCATAGGAAAGAGACTTGAAACCTAATTTCAAAACTCCTCGACATTGGTACATTAATTGGCTTTGCCAACAAGTCTGGCATCTTCCCTTGTGAGTTATTTGTAATGAAATTTTTGAAACAAATATCTATGAGGCCTTACATGAAAGGCACTTCTGAGATCAAAGAGTATAGGCCAATCGAGCATTTATGACTCATTAATGAACCTCATGATATAGGATCTCAAAGTCTTATTCTCCACCTATCATGCATTAAGGAGAGCTTTGAAAACTTCCTTCAGGCTTCTAGAAACTAGAGAACAAGCACAAGAAGAAGAAATGCTTCTTTATGGGAGCCTGAAAAACCACTGTAAGGTTATATCCCTCAAGTGTGGATAGTATACAACATTACAAAAAGGTGCAAGCCATCATTGCCTCAAATATGGCGAGATGCTTTGTTGGTTAATTAAACCATTATGTGTTAGCTAAAGAACCTTGATCTTAAATGGAAGAGGCTTCTAAATAATCTCAACCAGAAAGATAGATGCAGACATTACAATCTTTGTTGACTATGTCTGCACCAATAAATATTCATGGGGGACAAACCATCCTTAGTTCGCAGTAATCCTCATGTTAAGGAATGTTCTCCTCTCCATCTTATCCCATAACATGTTGATAAGGGGATTTAAGAGGTCACTTCTAAGCTCCTCTTGCTTGAGCGGTGGAGAGAGGGCTAAGGAGCCTAACTCGCTAACAAAAGTTGCAATAGGTTGGTTATGTCCACTTGCATCACCACAGACTAGGTTTAGAAATATAAGTTAACCTTGCTACCTTTGTCGTTGAAATGCCTTCATGCAAAGAAGTTGCAGATGCTCATGCTCCATTAAGGTTAACTCTCTATTTTCCAAGAGCTAAATCTCGCCCTTCACTTTGATTTTGATCAGATGTTATCAAAACAACAAATCCAATCTATAGAATTTCCAAGAGCTAATTGAAACATCATTAAGGAGGCAATGGTTAATCATAAAAAATATGAAAGAGAGATGATCAGCCTTAGAAAAACTTTTCAATTCTCTTGAAATCCTTCGATCATACAAAAACTCAATGAGGTTACACATGATATTAATTGAATGGGTGCAAAAGAGGCCAAAAGGACAGCCATAGAAGATAAAGATGTCATGTAGAAGATAAAAAAAGATAAGGCGTTAGGCATGACCGAGTGCCAATATGGAGCAAAATTTTAGAACTAAATAATTCATATTGATGTTAGGTTCCTTAAGGAGGGAGCACATCAAACCACAACAAGTAATGGGGTGTCAAAAGGCATATAAAATTATTATAAATAAAAAAGAATGGAGATAAATCATAATGGGGCAAACACACAATTGGGATGGCTAGCACACGATAACTTAAAGTTCACTCTCAGCTCCAATCTGGGCTAAACACACTCCATCAATTAGCTATGTTTTGCAAATACTTGACAACAGTGAATAGCACACCACAACGCAAAGTTCTTCGTGGAGCCCTAGCAGCATGACGTGGCGCGCAACACAAAATATTAT